GGGACTTTGTGCAAGCGACGAACTGCGAGGAGATATTCGAGCGCGGTGCAGGGGCGGAGGTGGCGGCGGGAAATGAGTTGGGTACCGATTGGCGACGACCGGATTACGTCTTGGACGCCATCGATAAGGAGGGAGATAAGGCTGCGATCACGGCGTATTGCGTGTACTCCAGGATTCCGGTTTGCGTCACCGGCGGCGCGGGTGGTGTCGACGCTTTGCGTGACGTTCGAGCAGAGGATCTCGTCGACGCGACGTTCAATCGTTTGTTGAGCGCGATGCGAAAGACGTTGCGTAAAAAATATTCGTTTCCACGCGAGGTTGGTTCCGGGAGCGGCGGAACCTTTCCAGGCAAAGAGAAGACTGGTAAGCGCAAGGGACGATGGGGTGTGACATCCGTGTACACTGCTGAGAACGAAAACGAATTCAAAACCGCGGGAACACGTGGACGCGGTGGAATTGGTTGCGAGGGCGTCGGTGGCTCCGCCGTGTTCGTCACTGGTGCGATTGGCTTCAAGGCGGCTAGTGAAATTGTCCTCAATTTGGTCAAGACGGATAAATCAACGCACGAGGGACCGGCGACGACTGGATGGCGCTCGCGCGTGTGGGCGTGTCAAGGTGTACATAATTACGCCGGACACTCGCAGAACCCCGACGCGTCGACGTCTCTAAATACGGGTGCTGAGAATAGCAAAGGAGGGAGCGCTGATCGAAAAGAAGTTCGCGACGCCGATCGGCGGGACGGCGGAAACGACGACGAGAACACAGACGACCGGAATCGTGAGCTTCGTCCGTCTTCGACTAACATGGCCGAAGCTCTCGCACTGAGTGCGTCCGAGATTTTCGATGCGCATTGCCACTGGCATCTTGGCGGTGAACATTCCGTTGTGCGCTCATTGTGCTCGCGACTCGCCGGCGCGGGAATGATGACCACCCGACCGAGCGATTGGGACGCCGCGCTCGCGATTCGAAGCGGCAACGATAATTTAACGATAAATGTACCGATCGCCTACGGTGTTCACCCATGGTGGGCGTACTTGGAGAAGAATGGCAAAGATGCTTGGATGGAGGATTTGCGCCGCGCGCTCGAGTCAACTCCGAACTCGGTTGTGGGCGAGATTGGATTGGACAAAGTCGCCGTCCCGCCCGACGCTGAGCCGGATTACGACAATCAACTCGATTGCTTCAAACGTCAACTCGCTCTCGCGACTGATCTGCGCCGTCCAGTAGTGGTTCACAGCGTAAAGGCGACACGCGACATGACTGACGCTTTTCGGCTTGCCAGCGAGCTTCCACCGCGAATATTCATGCACTCCTTCGGTGGATCCGAGGACTTTTTGAAGCAGCTGATCAAGATGAAGAAGTTTGGCGATCGATTCTATTTTGGTTTCAGCTCCGTTATAAATCTACGATCACCGAAGACGCGGAGCGTGATCGAGGCTGTTCCAGACGAGAGGCTGCTTCTCGAGAGTGATTTATGCGACCCCACGCACGCGGAAGACGAGCTGCGCATCATGTTAGCCATTATAGCGGACATCAAGGGATGGACTGTCAAAGAAGCCGCGCGACGGACTAGGGAGAACGCGGCACGTTTTTTTGCGACAGAGCCATGAGTTGTCAGAGTTGTTTTGCAATTCCATTTCAATCATTCGGTGTTTTGTACGCGCAAGAAATCTGCCTCACCAGTACAGGCGCTGGACGTCGCTTTCGGCGAAAGCCAACGAACAACCCGGGCATTTGCGCGCCCTGGACGCGATGCGTTTCTGGACACACTCTTCGCAGAACATGTGCCAGCATCGGGTGATGATGACAGCCTTCTGGCGCTCGCCTTGGCACACGTTACAGTTAAGGACGTGCTTGTACGCGTCAACCTCCGCCTGCAAATCGGTCGCTCCACCCTCACGGACAAGACGCTCGCATTTCTTCTTCAAAGCCTGAGCGGTCGACTCCGCCTTGACGCGAGCAGCCTTTTCAGCCTCGAGACTTGCAAGTTCTCTTTCACTTCGCTGCATCAACGTGGCGACGGTCTGCTCAGACGAATTGAGCTTGGCTCGCACGTCGACGATTTGCTTCTCCATCGCGCTTAGCTGTGCCTTGGAGCG